TCAGAAGTGTACACTATCGAACAAAAAAAGAATTTTGAAAATCGGTCCACAATTGACGGAGTAATCGGTGAACATACATAGAAAAAAAAAATACATACAGTCGAACATATAACCTCCTCCTTTTTTGAAGTCGGTTAATAAACCAAAGCAAGAAATCACTCTCGTGGCCTAAAATCACCTTAGGTGATGCCACGAAGGTGACGAAAATTTTAGTTTTTTATGAATTATCCTTAAATTTGAATTTAACGGTTCAAGTTGAATACTACACAAATAAGTCTAACATGTTAAGTTTTCAATGGCAAAGTTTCAATTAAATTGTTTAAATTTTAGAGGTAGAAAATATTGTTCAAGCAAGCGACGGTATGTCTATGGATAATCACAAAAAGTTACGTATTTTTTTCGCGGAGCGACGATCGACCTATCTCACCTACCCAATGGTCGAAGCGCGACTGACGTTAACCGAATAGAACGCTGTGATTGGTTGCTGGTGTTCGGTTTAACGGCAATCTTGTATTATTACTCAAAATTTTAGGTACCTAAAATCGTGTGACCAACGTATTTCGCTTTCTCAATTCAAAATAATTATAAAAAGATATTTTTTTGACTATTGTGTGGAAAGTATATTTAATTACGATGATTTTAGTATATGCTACACACAAATTGAATGAAAATTGTGAATGTAGTAACCAAATGTTTCATTGGTCTGAACTGAGTTACGAGCATCAGAAGTTTGATGATTTTCATACTAGATTTGCTGTTGGAAATTGCAACAAAATAATGACATTTTATGTGTAAACAAACAATACCATCCATTAAAGGCTCCAGACATCAGTATGCAGCAGAATCAGCGCAATAAAAAAATAGCGCAATATTTTGTTGCAATTTCTTACAAAACTTGCGCGCAAAAAGCAAATCTAGTATGAAAATAATTAAACTTCTAATGCTCGTAACTCAGTTTAGACTGAGTTTAGAGGTATACATGCCATAGTAAGTTTGGTTTAAAACACTATTTTGAAATCAAAAAACAAAGTTTGGTCGATGGCCGCGTGAAAAAAAAAAGACGCCACCTTCCATACAAAATCTGGCATTGCCATTTCCATTGTGTAACACATTCCAAATAGTAACTATAAGGTGTATATTTTTAAACATAAATAGGTAATAATAAAACTGCTATATTATATGATATTTTGTGTTACAGAAGGTTCAATGTACTTTTTTCTCTTTGTTTATAATCGAACTTTACTACTTTATTTTTTTACACAGCAGAAAGACACGGTTGTGACATTTATGGGTGAAAAAGTGATATTTTTATTATTATTATAATCTCAAGTTCTGAAACTATATTCGTGATGATCGTGTTGTAAAATTCATATTTAGTTACCCTATATGTATATCAGGATAGTGATATAACATACAATATTATTGCGTTGGTACTTGGTGCCCACAGGCCAACCGCCACAAATAGATTGCCTGTCAACTGACAGAAGAATTAAATCAACCAAGGTGATTTGTATACTCTGATTTTGGAATAATAATAAATGTAATACATTACTTATTTCAAAATGAAATGACACTAACCGCAAATCTTTTGCAATAAAATACTACATCGGTTTTAAATCATTTGTTCCTTGATAGAGGATATTTTCGTTAGCTAGAAGTCATGGAGACTTCTAGCTAACGAAAATTTTATATGTAAATAAAATAATATTACATGTATAAAGTAAATAAAACAGTCGTTTAGGATTATCTAGAACATTTATTATTTAATAGCAAAATCTGAATTCAAACACAAAGCAACCAATTAATATAATGATTAATAACAAACTAATAATTATGATATGTGATTTAATAATAAAGTGACTTAGTATGTCTGTACTGTTGTGTTTAATTACATTAAGCAGTTTCCTCACAAAATATTTAACAAACAAATAGCAACAACCAAAATAAAATCTCATTTATAAAAATAATTTTGAAATACATTTTTCCATAAGGTATATTTTAATTTTAACAAAATGATATCATGATTATTATTTGGACAACAGTCTCAAAAAATAAACCGTACCATTTATCATGAATATCCAAAAATATATTTTCTTATTTACAATAGTGTACAAGGTAGTAATAATAATGCAACGATTAGGCAGGGCTATCAGTCCAGTGACTACTAAGAACTTTTAACCAACTCAAGTTATACATTATTTCAAAAATGTATGTGTCATAATTTCAAAAACTCATAATCAGTCAAAAGTGTTGACCGAATATGAGTTTAGACTGTAACATAGTATTAATTTTTAAAAATAAGCACAGAACACACAACATCAATACGTCGCGTATCAATGTGACTGGATAGGAAAAATATCACTCTTAGGCTACGATTATGTTCCCAAAACCTCAAATGATGTTTTATCCATAAATTCTTGTATAAAAAAAAAACATTTTAACTAATTGAGGTAACCTTAGTAGTCTTTATGCCCATACTAATACAACCTATAGATGTCTTTTGCGATTTACATATTCCTTTAGCTGCAAACAGTAAGTGTAAACTGAGGGTAACAGCCAAAATGCCAACATTGGTGTTAAAGTCGTTGCACATATCGGTTCACTGTCATCATACTAAGTATAAATATGTGTTATTGTATAATAATTGCTTGTGGTTAGTACTGCACATTATAATAATTAGCATCTATATTTAAGGTTATATCAGTTTACAAACATCAATTCAGTATCCGTACGTAAGACTTAACACTTAACATAATTAATTAGCTTACCGACAAACGACCACTGAGAAGCACAGATGAACTTATTCTTTTAGAAAGCGTAGCAGATGCAAGTACTTAGAAATTCGATCAAAATCCTATCATAAAAACATCCAAATAACTAGCCAACAACACGATAAACACCTAGCTACACATTAACTAGTACAAGTTTTTAATTGTCCTACAAACATCCTAAATAATGCTACAGTGGTCAATTCTCATAATCCTATAAAAGGATTATGTAGAGATCATTACTCGGTGACGATACAATTTCACAAATGGTATCGCCACACAATACATTCTAAATAAAGTTTTCTCTCTCGATCTCAAATAAAAACTTTGAGTTCGAGCGTATACGTGACTTCATAGTCTTATAGCCTTCCTGTTATCATGGGGCCTCATTTGTGGTCTTAGCATTATTCCTTTTGTTTCATAGGACATGATTTTTTATTTTTTGCGTGTGTTATACAGGGTGGAAACGATAAGTGATCTCACTCGATTATTTCTAAACTATACAAGATATCGAAAAACTGGTTATTAATAATAAAAGTGCTTTACGAGCTCTATTTCAAACGGTATCAGTAATATGTTACAGAATTAACTGGATCTATCCGAAAATTCAATGTTTTCAGGCTCCATACTAAATGTATGCCAGCCACACAATGTTAGAAGTGTTAATTTTTTTTATTCAATAATACACTTACATTGAACTCCAAATTGCATTCTTATTTAAAATTATTCATGAAAAACATTGGTTTTAGGCTTTACTTGCTATAATATTATCAAGACATGAGTGCCGTGACTGTGGCAGTACTAAATGTGGTTTTACTAAATGTATGGAAGCCGGAAACATTGAATTTTCGGATAGATCCAGTTTATTTGGTAACCTATTATTGGTACCGTTGGATAGAGCTCATAAAGCACTTTCAGGATCAGTAACCAGTTTTTGGATATCTTGTATAGTTTAGAAATAATCGAGTGAGATCACTTATCGTTTCCATCCTGTATAGAACAATTTCGTGAAGTAATCAGATTTGTCAAAATAGCTACCTATCTAAATCTCAGTGTAGTGACATATGTTTGGATTACCCTCAAACTCCCGTGACCGTGAATGACAAAATATGTATGTCATCTAAACCCACCTAGGTTTCAGGCTGCTGGGCATTTGGGCAATTGAAACAATTTATTATATTTACGTCAGATATTCTCTTGATTTGTCCGACCACATCATGTTCGATGAAACAAATGGTAACACTTCAAATATTCAACTTCGAAAATTGACACCATCCTAAATGCATGTTCGTGCACACACGGAGCAAAGCATGGCAAGTACAGACTACAGCACATCAAGCTAAGCATTTGGCATCTTTTGTCGTAGTAATATGTACTATTTTCTAATAAATGCAGTCTGATGCGCTGTTGAGTACTATTCCTGCATTTCACGCAACTTTTCAATATACATTATAACGCCAAAACGAAGCATGTACGCCGAAACCAGTCTCACGCCTAGCTTTCAGTTCCGCGTGAGCATAACCTAGCGTATGTCTACATTAACGAGCCTTTTTAGGCTATGCTTTCATTTACACATCACATCTAAGCTTATTTATAGTCAGATTTTTATAAAATTGAGATTATAAATATGCAAAGGTTTCTTAAATATTTTAGTAGGTAGGTACCAAATTCAAGTCAACATTCGGTATACATTTAATAAATTCAACGAAAATAAATGAAGGAAGTGTTTGAAAACGACGGTTCATTGTTTAGATTTATGATCTCGAAGTAAAAATCCGACTTTTAGGCCATTAGAATCACATTACTAGGATACAGTGAAAACACAACATGCGTTTCTACGTTCCTATCAAAGAAGGTACACCTTAGCATTATTACTTGGGACGTCTCCTTTGAGCTGAAAGGCGCCGTCCACATCCAGAGGATCGGCCCTAATCGTTGAACTAACAATACACTTATTACAATTCACAATTAAGTAAATGCTCAGTATTTCTAAATTATTCGTTTTCACTACAGTAAATATCGAATTTAGGAAATAATTGGCAAATATTCTTACCTAATTGAATTTACCCGATGGAAGAGGGAAGGTCAACTAGTCTCTCAGGTATCGATTTTTTTACCTAACAGGCACTCACAGTTTTCTAATTATTACATAGAAAATTGTAAAGTCGAATATTGCACTACAAACATTTTTCTGGGTTTCATTAAGAAAACGCAATAGCCACATACGATTAAACTTTGTACTATTGTTAAAGTTAACTTTTAAACCCGGTTTATTATTTAAATAGCCATAGATCGTAATTAAATAGTAATAGATTCCTTGCATTAAAAGATTATTAATATTATACAGAAATTCATTATACACCTTATCGTATTTATTCCTAACTTTAAATAAATATGTATACATAAGTATAAATTGTTAAGTATAGTTTAACTGTAAAATAAGGCATACATAAGGTACTTTTTAGTATAACAACAAATAAATATCAAGCAATATTTAAAATTAATAACGCCCAATTTAAGTTTTAAAGTTACTACCAAACACTGCGCTATAAACTGGGCCACTTTTATGAAAATCTACTATGTAATATAGTGTTGTTCCTTTTTTATGTAATAAATGAAACATTAAATTGTTTCTATACCTTCATACGTAAGTTATTTCATGCGCTAGGTATACATTATTTTAACAACTCATACTAACGATTATTATTAGTGAGTTAAATACGTGTCAGAGTCGTTAACTTACAGTATAAAGTTGCTTACTAGTCCAGTCAATGAATGCCTTAACGACGTTGTAGAGAGAAATCCGTGGAACACAATTTATGACCTCGGGACTTTATTTAGCCTAGTTAGGTGGTGAACATAGCAAAAGTCCCCGCCCTTAGCCCTTGAGCCGGCGGGGAGAGGGGGGTTTAAAGGTACCACTTTTCGGTTTTTCGCTTAATCCTCGGAAACTATGCGTCCTAGTGACATGACTACTATGAACCAAAAAAAGCTTAATCAATTTGCTATAGGTGAGACCGTCAAGTTTTTCTATATCTTGTATAGTTTTTGCAGCATCTGCTCTAGAAGGTCTGTAAAATTGGAAATTTTATTGTTGTCTTACATGTTCATTTCAGGAGAAAATCGACTAAATCAACATTGAGCAAACACTATAGACATGCGGGAGCATGTTAAGCCTAGTTCCATAGAGGAGACTGCACCGTGCGTATATTTAGACGAACCAATTAGAGCCACTTTTGACTCCTCATCNCTTTAAAGGCATGTAACTCAGTTGGTAGTCACCGCTGGACTGATTTTGCAACGCTGATCGAAGCAGCAGTGTCATAATTCCAGCTACTGAGAATTTCAAATTCAGCACTTGCAAATTTTTAAAATTGTGGCTATTTTTAAAGGACTGGGGTGTGTCATACCCCACCTCGTACAGCGAGGGTTAAATACGTGTCAGAGTCGTTAACTTACAGTATAAAGTTGCTTACACTAATTAATTGCTATGCCTAGCCTGCTCACGCTACTCGCCAAGATAGAGTGCGAGTGACGAGCCTTGTCCTGACTTTGTCGTCGTTTGCATTCCCTTGTATCAAGCCTAATTATTTGTGATATAATTTGAATCCGCTTCGCAGATCATTTAACACTAAATATTTCATCGAATCCCTTAGAATGTACACATTTCAACCCGGCCTTTTAATAGTAAAATACCTAATACAAATTTATAATTTTACAAAGTAGATTTCCTCTACTATCATTACTATAACAAAACTACACATCTTCATAAGTATTCACGACAGTAAATTTATAAACCTACATTAACTAGGTATAATTTTTCATTTTTAGACTAAATTTCATCACTTGAATTGAATTAGATACAATCAGAATATTAGCAGCAGACGAATACAAAATATTAAAAATAGTAGTGATCCCGTTATAAAGAGCACTGACCTCTGCTATATTGCACTGAATCGTATTCGTTGAACGGGAGAGCTAAAAAAGGTCCTCTGAATCGAAACAAATCACGATCTATTTACTATGACTCACCACAAAAAGGGCGTGACGAGCATAGGTCGAAGCTCGTACATAGCAGAGGTCGCGACAACAAGCTGCATAATTCGTCTAGAGCCGCCTGTGGCTGGAGTTAACATTAAGTCAGTTCTTCCCCGCTGAGCAGGAATATTCGGAAAGAGGACTCGTCTGCCGCTGTGTCAGCGTACATCAACTCTTCCTGAAATTAACACATCAAATTACCTGGAGATCACGGGTAAGGTTTCTGTAACATTCTACATATACTGTAACTTCGAAAGTACGAAGTTATTTTGGCCGTTTTTTGTTATGAATTTGAGGGAAATGACTAAGGTACATGGCTGACGTTAAATTATAAAATAATTTCCCCTGTAAAGATGTAATTAAGTATTAAAAAAACACAAAGCCAGTTTTAGACATGCCCGGTATTGTTAGCTAAGCGACGTTATTCACAAAACTACAAGTATTTGAGACACCAGGATTGGCACAAGGCCAAGTTTTCGAGGTCTCCAACAAATGTTGCCACTATGTACGTTAAAAATATCTTAGGTCAGCCTGCAACATATTTATAGCACGGGATATGGGACATAACTAAAGTCCGGTCGCCGCACGGTGGGCCNGCAGATAGAATATCGCACAGTGACCATGACCAAGCTACCTATCCTTATCGCTTACCGATATTATATTGCTATCGCACTCGCACACTCACTGTGCGACGGGCGGCCGTAGTGATTTGAAACACAGCAGCACCTTATGTAGGTGTAGTAAAGCTGACAATCGAACGCACCTGCATGAGATCTATGGTGGGGTGCGCGTCGAGCAGGCCCAGGCCGACTCCGGTCGCTGAGCACATAGAATTTCGTACAATGACCCCAAGCTACCTATCCTTATCACTCACGCGTTATTATATTGCGACGGGCGGCCGCAGTCTGCTCGGCGACCGGACTTGAAACACAGCAGCACCTTATGTAGGTGTAATAAGGCTGACAATGAGGGCTATCGTTTTTATACTTAACAGTTGGCACCCCTGGCGATTGACAGGACCTTACTCTACAGTGGCGCCATCTTGATGAGTGCAAATGCGATAGTCCTCCTACCACTTTAGCGCTCACAAGTTGGTGCCACTGTCTTCGCTACTAGCAAGTGACAGGACCTTACTCTACAGTGGCGCTAACTGGTGAGCGCTAAAACGATGCCCATCATTGAACGGTCGGCCGTTTGGTGTAGTGGTTCAGAACGGACTACTATGCCGAGAGGTCCCGGGTTCGATTCCCGGCCGGGCAGAAATTGAAATGATGAATTTTAATTTCTGTGACGGGTCTGGGTGTGACTATGTATAATATTTATGTATTTAAAAAAAAAAGTATATAAGTAGTATATCCGTTAAGCTAGCACCCATAACACAAGCATTAAGTTGCTTACTTTGGGGCTAGTAACAATATGGTGTAATTTAGCCTGTCTCAAGAGTCAAGCACCATTTTGTTGACAAACGTCAGTGATCGGCACTGCGCCGAAGCTATAGGGCTGACTTCGGTAAAATGATGTGACGTGAGGTGCCAAACTGCGGAAAATGGCGGAGGAAATACATGATTTAGCATGAATTATCATGAATAATATTAACTACTTATTTACCTCCCAGTGTCTTGAGGCAACTTAAAAAAGTACATTCTGTGTTTTTATTATTATTTAGGTAGTTAAATACTGCACAGTATTTAGTACACCATTTTCTTTATTTTCTTCCATCATACACAAGAATATGCGTGCGTGAGTCAATGTTCGCTCGTATTTTTTTTTATTTTATTTTTTTTTTTTATTTGTTTAACAATGTATGTGAGGCCTTGTCGAATAGTGTCCTGTAGGTGGGCCATCGTGCGTGTTTTGTTTTCAATGTAAACTCGCGGAGATGAACAGGCCTGGTGGCTGGTGGTAGTAAGGGTGTCAATTGAACGCACCTGCATGAGATCGATGGTGGGGTGCGCGTCGAGCAGGCCCAGGCCGGCGCCCAGCGGCGAGCCCGCGCCCGCGCCCTCGCCCGCGCCCTCCGCGCCCGCGCCCACGCACGCGCCCATGTGCCTGGGACACGACAAAAATAAACATTCAAGTATATTTTAACCAGGGATGTTAAGGATATCCGTAACCGTAACCGAAACTATCGGATATCCGAAATAAAAAAATAACCATAACCGAAATAGATTCAAAAGTTTCGAATAAAGGCAAGTCTAAATCTTAATATTTTTAATTGTTGTCTGGCATTCCCTGGCACCATCTAATATCCCCGCCTGTTTTACCATTATCATAGGTGTCGTCATAGTACATAAAGTGGCTATGTGGGTCGCGCAACTCGCGCAGCATCTTGCTATTTGAATTTTATCTTTTTAAAATTATAATATCCGAAATTGTATCCATAACCGAAACTTCATATCCTTAACATCCCTGATTTTATTTAACCCTCTCGCTGATAACGATAACAATTTGAAAAGTGTAAAAGTGAAATACATTGCATAACAATTAGTAGTAAAAAACTAAATTTATCGTAAAAGTATGCTGTATACCGAACGAGGCGAACGAGTTATCGACTAAAAAGAGATAACTTTTTTAAAAAATAAAACCGACTTCTAATGCGTGAACACAAAAAAAAACTAAAACTTAAAAATATTGCGTATAAAAAAGTTCACCCCCAATTTTCCACCNTTTTTATTGTTAGTAAAGAGCATAAAACTTGCAATTTTCAACTAAAAATATTATTTTATTCCATAAAGTATACTTTAGTAACTAATCTTTAATATAAACATCGGAAGTTATCCAAACCTTTAAGCATCTTAGCAGGGCAAATGAAAATGCGTTTTTTCGCTCTCCTGTAAAATTTGCTCCGCTGCACTTACTAGGTTCTTAAATGGTTCAGCAGAGCTGGCGCTGTGTGAAATTGTCCAAAGATTTATATATTGAACGCACCTGCATGAGATCGATGGTGGGGTGCGCGTCGAGCAGGCCCAGGCCGGCGCCCAGCGGCGAGCCCGCGCCCGCGCCCGCGCCCTCCGCGCCCGCGCCCCCGCACGCGCCCATGTGCCTGGGACACGACAAAAACAAACATTCAAGCGTATTTTAACGCCCTCTCGCTGATAACGACAACAATTTGAAAAGTGTAAAGGCCGATTCACACATATCAGTGAAGTCACAGTTCAGACTGACTGAGTCCCGATCACATCCCCAAGCAGGCTCTGGATTGGAACCCCCAAGGAAAACGCAAACGTGGTCGCCCCAAGCAAACTTGGCGGCGCACTGTGGCAGACGAGGCGAAGAAGATCGGCAAGACTTGGAGCGAGATCAAACACATAGCTCAAGACCGAACGCGATGGAGGACTGTTGTGGACGCCCTCTGCCCCATCTAGGGGACATAGGACCATAAGTCAAGTAAGTCGCAGTTCAGACACAGTACCAGCACAGTGCGAAATATTCTTTCATACAGTTTCTATGAACGCATCCCCACTTGTCAGTGTCAGTGACGACACAGTGCTCTCAGTGTCAGTGCCGACACTGGCAATCACGGACGTATTCGTTGACGACGATATTTTTTGTCGGATCACGGACGCCGCCTTCTGTCTCTCTTCATCGCCTGCTTCATGCACCCATTTTCTTTTTTTACTTTGATGCTGCTCTTCTTCTTCGTCCAAAGCAATAGCTATCATTGCTAGCTCCGTAGTACTGAACGCCATAATCTCGATACTTGACGACGAACACGTTTTCACTGAAGCTCCGTGAACTGAGTACTGACATGTATGAATTGAATCACTGACGCAACACTGTCGCACTGATACTGAACTGAGCGAACACTTTGACGGAACTGTGGCTTCACTGATATGTGTGAATCGAGCTCAAAAGTGCAATACATTGCATAACAATTAGTATTAAAAAATTAAATGTATTGTAAAAGTACTCTAGCGTTCGTTCGTTTCAGGTGAATGACGCCAACTGCTCGACAAAAGCCATCCTCAAGGATTTCCACAACGACTGGTCCTGCGCTGCCCGTATCCGGGTTCTTCCTACGACCTTCATCTGATCGTCGGTCCTAATGGGAGGCCTGCGCACACTACGTCTTCTTCCAGCCCATGGTCTCCACTCGACGAGAACTTTCCAGACCTTCTAGCGTTACTTCTTCAAAATAAATATACTCACTGGCTATCGTCATTTATCATAACGTTTCCATGGAGAAACAGATCGCTCCGCACAGTGTAAGTGTTGCTCTCCGAACCTTCCAGCTGCTCGACCTGTCAACAAGATATTTCATTAGATACTTGTGATTGAATCATAAAGTAAAGAAAAAAGTTGATAAGAGCTTAGCAGGGAATAAAAAAAGTAAAAAACATGTTTAAGGCTGAGTTGCACCACCTTATTTAACCGTGCTCGTAATGGTTATAGTCACGGATATTGTGGAGTTGGACCGACTTCTGACATTTGTTAAAATAAGATGATGCAACCACGGTAATACTATCTATACAGTATTCCAACTCGGCCATATTTTTGAAATAAATGTCAACAGCCGAGCGGTACGTCACCCTATGACAACATGCGATAGGGCTGCCCACCTACAGACCCTATTTTCACTACATCTGCCTACTTAGAATTTCTATCTAGTTTTGTGAGTGTATTTTGTGATTGTAATTTTTTATTTTATTTTGAGAAACAAAATACTTTGTGAATTAAATAGGATAAAAATGCATGTTGTCTTGTCATTAGTAAATTTAACTAAAAAAATATTTGTGTTAAGATTTAGTAACAAATGTTATTTATAAATTTGCGACCGTAAAATGTATGCTCCTCGACCGAGGCGTACAAAATGCTTGATTTATTATACAGAGTGTTGGGTAAATGGGTTTATAAGCAGACACTAGCCCATGTTAACGTGTGCATTTTTTAAAATTTTTACAAACTCAGATTTGTATGAAAATTAAAATTATTAAAATGCTGACATAAAATTTCTGACTTCACCATACCATTTACATTATAAACCACCATACCATTTATAATATTTATAAGTCACAAATTTTATATCAGCATTTTAATAATTTTAATTTTCATACAAATCTGACTTTGTAAAAATTTTAAAAAATACGATATCACTGATACACCGTACCATTTACAATATAATGTTAATATGGGCTAGTGTCGGCTTATAAGCCCATTTACCTAACACCCTGTATAAATAGGTACTTGTAATTATTCTTTATAAAAACAACACTTACTGTTTACAAAACACATCGTCAGTTTATTACTGTGGCACATTCGCGACACCCCTTACTTTTGCATGTCGAGCGCATGCCGAGATTTGAATTTCGAAGGAAAGCTCGCGTCTCGTCCGTTTATATGAAGTTACAATACTGTATGATAGTATTACCGTGATGCAACCCACCCTAAATGTATAATCAAAATCGACTGTCTAAAAAACTCACATGTGAATCATCTTTGAGCAGATTATCATCGTCATTGATGTCGCAGTGCCCCGCGCGGCCCTCAAGCGGCCAGGTGCAGTGCGTGCGCGCCGAGTGCCACTCGCCCTCCGCCTCCGTCTCCGCTTCCGTCTCCGCTCCCACCTCCGCTAACTCCTCCGCTCCCGTCTCCGCCAAAACCAAGCCACCCTCCGCCGAAACGTCGTCCGACAAACCACACTCGGGCGATACGTTCACCTACAATTTTTACTATTCGTTAGAGGTCCGATCCAAACCTTCAGAATAAAAAAGAACATGTTTCACTTTTGGGCTGGATAAAAAAGTGTAGTGACATAATAAAGGTCATAGCAGACTTATCAACTCGGAAAGGGATCAACACGGTATCGCCTTTCGCGCGCTGTCAACCGTAAGGCGAGGCGTTTACGTTACGGTGCGAATAAGTGTGCGTTGCTGTATGGAGTTTGATACAAAGAATACTGGCCGCCTCGAGTTGATACGGCTACGATCCCTTTCCGGGTTGATAAGTGTGCTACAACAATAGACTATGTTTGAACATTTATTGCTAAAAAAAATATTTGTTACACATTATTAATAATATAAAAATTAGATTTATAAAAATGAATGATATCATACCAAAAACATATTATCATCAGTCTTCTCGAGCGTGAAGAATGATTCGGTTTCGCTGGTGGTCGTCGCTGACGGGCTGTCTTTATTCTTGTGCACTTTCTTCATATGCAGATACAGCGTGCTCATGTTGTTGAAGGTTTGTTCACAACCTGCAATGAGAACAGAGTACATGAACCCAACATACTTTTTACTACAATTAACCCAGCGCAAACATGGCTCCTTAAGGCGACCCCTTTTCGTCTCATGACGTTGACTCATTGTCGTGGACTAAAAGAGGACGAAAAGAGGTTGTAAAGCAGTGCTCGCGTCCAACGGAGGCGCATCACTCCCTGTCCCTCCACCCACACTAAACTTGTAGCAAGATAACTCTAGTTCTAGGAGTGAAGTTCACTTCACCCAATGTGAGTTAGAGAGCATAGTTCAATCCGCCCACTCTGAGCTTGGAACTAGAAAGCTAGAGCTAAGGAGCGTAGATTAATCCGCCCACTGTGAGCCTGGAACTAGAGCTAGGGAGCGCAGTTCACTCCACCTATTGCAAGCCTGGAGCTAGAGAGCGTAGTTCAATCCGCCCACTGTGAGCCTGGAACTAGAGATAGGGAGCGCAGTTCACTCCACCTATTGCAAGCCTGGAGCCAGAGAGTTCGAGCTAGGGAGCGAAGTTCCATCAGCCCACTGTGAGCTTGGAGCTAGAGAGCTAGAGCTAGGGAGTGCAGTTTTCTCCGCTCATTGCAAGCTTGGAGCTAGAGAGTTAGAGCTAGTGAGCTAGAGCTAGAGAACTAGAGCTAGTGAGCTAGAGCTAGAGAACTAGAGCTAGGAGCTAGAGCTAGAAAACTAGAGCTAGGAGCTAGAGCTAGAGAACTAGAGCTAGTGAGCTAGAGAACTAGAGCTAGTGAGCTAGAGCTAGAGAACTAGAGCTAGTGAGCTAGAGCTAGAGAACTAGAGCTAGTGAGCTAGAGCTAGAGAACTAGAGCTAGTGAGCTAGAGCTAGGAGCTAGAGCTAGAGAACTAGAGCTAGTGAGCTAAAGCTAGAGAACTAGAGCTAGAAAATTAGAGCTAGAGCTAGAGAACTAGAGCTAGTGAACTAGAGCTAGAGAACTACAGCTAGTGAGCTAGAGCTAGAGAACTAGAGCTAGTGAGCTAGAGCTTGAGAACTAGAGCTAGTGAGCTAGAGCTAAAGAACTAGAGCTAGAGAACTAGAGCTTGAGAACTAGAGCTAGTGAGCTAGAGCTAGAGAACTAGAGCTAGAGAACTGAAGCTAGTGAGCTAAAGAACTAGAGCTAGTGAGCTAGAGTAGTGTCTAGTGCAGCGGTTCCCGAATGGTGGTCCGCGGAACCCTGGGGTTCCGTGGAAAGGCCGCAAGGGTTCCGTAAAAAATATTATCCCACGTTTCGTGACCGACGTAGTTCGCTCGCACCGACTTGTTTACGCACAAGGGAGGGGCAGGGCGTGCGGGCGGAGTAGTACGGGGGTTCCGCTAGGAAAAGTATAATCAACTAGCTTTCCGCCCGCGGCTTCGCCCGCGTGGAATTTTGTCTGTCACAGAAAAACTTTATCGCGCGCGTCCCTGTTTCAAAAACCGGGATAAAAACTATCCTATGTTCTTTCCCGGGACTCAAACTATCTCTATGCCAAATTTCATCAAAATCGGTTGCGAGGTTTAAGCGGGAAAGCGTAACAGACAGACAGACAGACAGACAGAGTTACTTTCGCATTTATAATATTAGTTGGGATTAGGGCAAAAAAAAATTGGGAAACCCTGGACTAGTGCACTGACCGGGGTGGTGGCAGGGGTGCGCGCGGCGCAGCGCGTGGTAGCGCGCCACGTGGTCGCGCAGGTGCTCGCGGCGCAGGAAGGCCTGGTCGCACGCCGTGCACGCGTGCTTGCGCTCGCCCGTGTGTCTCCGCGCGTGACGCATCAGCTTGCTGGCCGACCGGAACGACCAGCCGCAGTTCTGGTGAACAGAATTTCAATAGGGATGAAATCGAAATTGTATTTAGTCCGTCAGACAGATAATTAGAAAATATTAGACCCATATTTTTTATTTTTTTTTCCATTATCGAATGATTACAGTATTATATGTATTGAGTTGAAATGTCGCGTGACGTCACTTTTGAGTAAAAATTCTACTCAAGCGTGACGTATCGCGCCATTTTAACTCGATGTAGCACTGTTATTATTTAATTATAAAAGAAAATAAAAAATATGAGTAATATTTTCTAATTATCTGTCTGACGGACAAATAATTGAAATTTTGTCATCTAGCCTATTATATTTTCTTTTGGTGCATAATTTGCATTGTTTACGATGAATGTGCTATAGCTATAGGTGATGAAATTGCCTCTCATGAAGCAGCTGTAATCCTCACGGACGCGTCATGCCGATGTAATGAAGGCTATCGTTTTAGCGGTCACCAGTTGCTAGTGGCGAAGACAGTGGTGTTTGAATGCAAATGCTATAGTGATAGTGCTACAAGGATGGCGCCACTGCAACCGGTGAGCGCTGTAGCGGTACGACGACTATCGCATTTGAATGCAAATGCTATAGTGATAGTGATACAAGGATAGCGCCATTGTAGAGTAGGGTCGCGTCAAGCGCAAACGGTACAAGAACGACAGCCTTCATCAGCAATCGGCGTAGTATAACAGTATGTGCAACTCACAGGGTAGGTAACGGGACTATTCCTACCTCTCGTTCCCACCACTGCAATTCCTGTGTAGCCAGGATCTACAGCTTGACCGCCATAAAAAAACCCAACCAATGAAGGTCAAGTTTGTCCCGGGGGAAAGTTAAACTGTCATTAGACCCGCAACGAAATCAATCGGAAGAACATAGGAGGAGTTCGAAATTAAGGTTCGACTTCCCTCCATTGCAAAGCGGATGACAGGTGACAAACAAACCTTTAAGAAAAGATTATGCACCACGGAAAATAAATATCAATGAGGGCTATCGTTTTTATACTTAACAGTTGGCACCCCTGGCGATTGACAGGACCTTACTCTACAGTGGCGCCATCTTGATGAGTGCAAAATGCTCACAAGTTGGTGCCACTGTCTTCGCTACTAGCAAGTGACAGGACCTTACTCTACAGTGGCGCTAACTGGTGAGCGCTAAAACGATAGCCCTCATTAAGGAGGCCTATCTTATGTGCTAAGCTATGAACTCACAGGGTAGTCGCAGGGATAGGGCCGGTCGCCGGTGTGCGCGCGCGCGTGCTCGCGCAGGCGGCAGGGCTGGCGGAACACGCGGCCGCAGCCGGCCCACGCGCACACCAGCGGCGACTAGCTTTCCGCCCGCGGCTTCGCCCGCGTGGAATTTTGTCTGTCACAGAAAAACTTTATCGCGCGCGTCCCTGTTTCAAAAACCGGGATAAAAACTATCCTATGTTCTTTCCCGGGACTCAAACTATCTCTATGCCAAATTTCATCAAAATCGGTTGCGAGGTTTAAGCGGGAAAGCGTAACAGACAGACAGACAGACAGACAGAGTTACTTTCGCATTTATAATATTAGTTGGGATTAGGGCAAAAAAAAATTGGGAAACCCTGGACTAGTGCACTGACCGGGGTGGTGGCAGGGGTGCGCGCGGCGCAGCGCGTGGTAGCGCGCCACGTGGTCGCGCAGGTGCTCGCGGCGCAGGAAGGCCTGGTCGCACGCCGTGCACGCGTGCTTGCGCTCGCCCGTGTGTCTCCGCGCGTGACGCATCAGCTTGCTGGCCGACCGGAACGACCAGCCGCAGTTCTGGTGAACAGAATTTCAATAGGGATGAAATCGAAATTGTATTTAGTCCGTCAGACAGATAATTAGAAAATATTAGACCCATATTTTTTATTTTTTTTTCCATTATCGAATGATTACAGTATTATATGTATTGAGTTGAAATGTCGCGTGACGTCACTTTTGAGTAAAAATTCTACTCAAGCGTGACGTATCGCGCCATTTTAACTCGATGTAGCACTGTTATTATTTAATTATAAAAGAAAATAAAAAATATGAGTAATATTTTCTAATTATCTGTCTGACGGACAAATAATTGAAATTTTGTCATCTAGCCTATTATATTTTCTTTTGGTGCATAATTTGCATTGTTTACGATGAATGTGCTATAGCTATAGGTGATGAAATTGCCTCTCATGAAGCAGCTGTAATCCTCACGGACGCGTCATGCCGATGTAATGAAGGCTATCGTTTTAGCGGTCACCAGTTGCTAGTGGCGAAGACAGTGGTGTTTGAATGCAAATGCTATAGTGATAGTGCTACAAGGATGGCGCCACTGTACAGTAGGGTCACGTCAAGCGCAAATGGTACAAGAACGACAGCCTTCATCAGCAATCGGCGTAGTATAACAGTATGTGCAACTAACAGGGTAACGGGACTATTCCCACCTCTCGTTTCCACCACTGCAACTCCCGTGTAGCCAGGATTTAAACCCAACCAATGAAGGTCAAGTTTGTCCCGGGGGAAAGTAAACTGTCATTGGACCCGCAACGAAATCAATCAGAAGAAAATAGGAGGCGTTCGAAATTAAGGTTCGACTTCCCTCCATTGCAAAGCGGATGACAGGTGACAAACAAACCTTTATGAAAAGATTATGCACCACGGAAAATAAATATCAATGAGGGCTATCGTTTTAGCGCTCACCAGTTGGCGCCACTGTAGAGTAAGGTCCTGTCACTTGCTAGTAGCGAAGACAGTGGCGCCAACTGGTGAGCGCGAAAGTGGTAGGAGGACTATCGCATTGCACTCATCAAGATGGCGCCACTGTAGAGTAAGGTCCTGTCAATCGCCAGGGGTGCCAACTGTTGAGTATAAAAACGATAGCCCTCATTAAGGGGGCCATCTTATGTGCTAAGCTATGAACTCACAGGGTAGTCGCAGGGATAGGGCCGGTCGCCGGTGTGCGCGCGCGCGTGCTCGCGCAGGCGGCAGGGCTGGCGGAACACGCGGCCGCAGCCGGCCCACGCGCACACCAGCGGCGCCCGCGCGCGCCCCGCCCCCCGCCCCGCCGGCCCCGCCCCCGCCGTCGCCGCCTGGCGGCAGTGCGCGCGCACGTGGGCACGCAGCCCCGACGACCAGAAGAAACGCCGCCCGCACTCCTCGCACCTGCGGCGGCAATGATGGGCCTTCGATTACACTTGAAGACCACACGGGAAAAACAATTAATGTCACCTTTTTTGTGAAACTGACTTTTTAATGCCATCTGTTAGATTTTTAGGGAAACATTCTATTTCAAAAATCAGAAATATAGACTTTCAAATTACTTTAAAAACTGTTTTTCTCATAATTGTAGTTAATTGTAGTTTTTTGACATTCTTTGTTTTTCCCGTGTGGTCTTCACTTGTGCTTAAGAGCGTTTACGCGAAGCGCGGCGTTTCAAGGGGCATCATTGGAAATTATTCGCGCGCGGCGTTTTTTAATAGTTTTCAAATGTTTATAGCAAAACAATAACAATTAATTATATATCGTTTCAAAGTAAATATTTTAAAGAAGATGTTATTTTATTATATTAAGCTATTTTTATGTTGAATTAAAGAAGAATAATGGTGTAAAAATCACTTTGATTTTTGGGTATTTCACGTTCTTTGAATTTGTGATTTCTTATTGTAAAATGCTTAAATCTAAGAATTTTCTCAACTAACTATTTGCCTAAGGACCTATGCTATAGGATATAAATGTTTGTTATATCGTTTTCACAGTATTTTTATAAAAATTTCAGCTTGTAAACTGACGCTAAAGTGAAAATTTGAAAACCTGTGTAGATTTATCTTAATAGAATCCTTAAATACTATACTAATCGAAATATTTTCTCAACTAACTATTTAGACGACGAAATTGCCTAATTATTTATGCCTATAACATACTAGCTGACCCGGCGAACTTTGTTCCGCCTTAATGGCAATAAATAAGCAGACTTTTTTTTTTAATTTCGAACGGGATAAAAAGTATCCTATGTCCTTCTCCTAGCTCTAAACTACCTCCCTGACAATTAACAGCTAAATCGGTTCAGCCGTTCTTGAGTTATAAGTGGAGTAACTAACACGACTTTCTTTTATATACAGGGTGTCCCAAAAACAATGGATAACCCTGTAACCATCGATAGGCCTCGCCATGGTCTCCCTAACGTCCAATTTTGACCCCAGTAAAAATATCACCGTTTTCAAGATTTTTAAGTTTTTGTGCATTTTTAGAAATTTTGTAGAAATGGCATGAGAAAAAGTAATCGCAGGTGGCAATTTTCTAAAAATGAACAAAAACTTAAAAATCTTGAAAACGGTGATATTTTTACTGGGGTCAAAATTGGACGTTAGGGAGACCATGGCGAGGCCTATCGATGGTTACAGGGTTATCCATTGTTTTTGGGACACCCTGTATATAAAAGAAAGTCGTGTTAGTTACTCCACTTATAACTCAAGAACGGCTGAACCGATTTAGCTGTTAATTGTCAGGGAGGTAGTTTAGAGCTAGGAGAAGGACATAGGATACTTTTTATCCCGTTCGAAATTAAAAAAAAAAGTCTGCTTATTTATTGCCATTAAGGCGGAACAAAGTTCGCCGGGTCTTTGAGTCCAAATGAGTGGATATTTGTTCGAGGCTGTTTCCTTTTAAGAGCGTTTACGCCGTTTAGCGCAAAACAGTACTTTTTCAACCCGTTACAATCATATACCAGTTACATTACAAATCTATATACAGGGTGTCCCAAAAACAATGGATAATCCTGTAACCATCGATAGGCCTCGCCATGGTCTCCCTAACGTCCAATTTTGACCCCAGTAAAAATATCACCGTTTTCAAGATTTTTAAGTTTTTGTGCATTTTTAGAAATTTTGTAGAAATGGCATGAGAAAAAGTAATCGCAGGTGGCAATTTTCTAAAAATGAACAAAAACTTAAAAATCTTGAAAACGGTGATATTTTTACTGGGGTCAAAATTGGACGTTAGGGAGACCATGGCGAGGCCTATCGATGGTTACAGGATTATCCATTGTTTTTGGGACACCCTGTATATAGATTTGTAATGTAACTGGTATATGATTGTAACGGGTTGAAAAAGTACTGTTTTGCGCTAAACGGCGTAAACGCTCTTAAAAGGAAACAGCCTCGAACAAATATCCACTCATTTGGACTCAAACATCTACAGGGTGTCCCAAAATTGGTGAATCAAACTAGGAGGTGGCTTGACACGCACACGCAGGGTTTACACTTTAAGGACATTTATTTATTTAAAACAAACACAAATACCAGCAAAGAGGTTTACGTACATATTTTGTCTTGGGACTAGGTGCTATCATGATTTCATTATTATTATTTTTACCTGTATACTGCATCATCCAAAGTATGATCTTCATTCAAATGTTTGATCAACTGATCTCTGACAAGAAATATTTTGCCGCACGACTGTTCTGTACCATCAGCCTCTATCCGCTTTACGGGACATTCCACGGTTACTTGCCGCGGCGCTCTTATGGACCCATCCTCACAATGAGTATTTTGATGCTTCTTAAATTTTTGCTCACTCCTGAATTCTTTATTGCAATTAGGTACCTTACACTAAAAATATAAATAATGTAAAGAAACATGTTTGCTTTAGAAAATGCAAATTATGCCATATTTCTATAATAATATATTGTGTTTTGATAAATACAAAAATATTAGCAAAACAACCATTAGGCGCGGTATCCACCTAGGCGGAGCGGAGTGGAGAAGTGTCAGGCCGTGAAATTTTTCTATAGAATTTGAGAGGCGCGGCGGCGGCGCGGCGCGGAGCGCCGAAGTGGGAATAATGAAATCTGATTGGTTATTCAAAACACTTATCTGCTCTGCTCCTTGGTGGATACTGGACCTTATTGACAAGTTATTCTTCAAATTACCTGATATTTAATGGGAGTAAACTGTGAATAGAAATTTTGAAGGTGAGATGCAGCTGGCCGATCAGTCTGATTTAAATCTGGATACTCATTTGACACGGTCGACAAGGGCAGGCTGTTGTTGACTTCATCTTGGGTGTGCTCCATCAACACATTTGACACTGGGGATTCATTATCTAGAAAAATATAACTCTGAAATACCTATATTATATCTTTTTTTTTATTGTGTCAGTTCCACAATAAATATCCTAAATTACTATTCATTATAAAAGTGCAATGATACAATAAAAATACAATGCCTCAAGCAAAGGACACAAGGATGATTGATAAATCTGTCTTCAAAGCTACCTAAAATAATATATGAAATTAGCTATTTAAGTATTTACTTATAAGTGATGAGGCAGAGGAGGTTTAGTCTAGATTTTTATAAACTAAAAAACTATGGCTATAGTACCTATAACTACCAATGCTTCAATTGATGTTCCTGGATCACAGTCTATATCATACAGCATGACATTCTGAAAAAAAAAACACCTAAAGATACTGGAAAATTTGAATTCAACACTTATTATTATTTGATTACTTGGCCAAGGTGGATATTATACTACTAATATTATAAAGCTGAAGAGTTTGTTTGTTTGTTTACTTGAACGCGCTAATCTCAGGAACTACCGGTCCGATTTGAATAATTCTTTCAGTATTAGAAGCCCATTTATCGAGGAAGGCTGTATACCACAACACTACGAGTAATAGGTGCAAAGAAAAAATAAATAATGTTGCGAAAACAGGTTTTCACGCGTACGAAGTCGCGGGCACAGCTAGTTATACTAAAATTTTAATAAATACCTCTGCTGTGGCATCACTAAAAAATGATTCTATGTTAACAAGTGCTTCATTGGAATTTTCTTCATTGCCTAGAAATAAAAAAGCAGTTAAAATCATCATCATCTAAAATCTTTTACCAATAACACTCACTCTAATGTTCATAACACTATACAAAATATTTAAACACTAATATTTAATGCAAGGCTACTTACTTTTTGATTGCACATTCTCTCCTAAACCTTCTGACTCTAACATTCCATTATTATTGAAAATATATTTATGATCAGTACTTTCTGATGGCATCTGTAATTCATTGTTTAGTTCATCTCTAGTGGCTGGTGTTTGGTGCTCCAAGTGAGAGTGAAGACTTAATGTCGCCATGCCTTCAGATTGAGTTTCATCTGTTGTTTCTTTTATAAAACATTCACTGACCAAAGATGCAGTATCAGGAGATTCAAAGGCTTCGAGCACATTTGTTTTTGCTGCAAGCTTTGGTTTTTTTCTGAGTATGTTTGGTTTTTGGAACTTCTTTTTACCATTCTTTTCATGTGGTACAAACATTGTTCTCATTTTCAAAGCAAATTGAAATAAAAATATCTGAAAGTGAATAAATACATACCAATAATATAAACAAGCAAAGCAAAATTTACTGAAGTAATCTATCTATCTATATAAATAAAAATGAATTGATGTTCGTTAGTCTGATTAAAACTCGAGAATGGCTGGACTGATTGAGCTGATTTTGGTTTTAAAATTTTTGTTGTAGTCCAGGGTAGGTCTAAACGGTGAGCAAATACGCGCGCGATATTGTTTTTCTGTGACAGACAAAATTCCACGCGGGCGATGCCGCGGGCGGAAAGCTAGTCTATATATATAAAAATGAAACCCGTTTTCCGTTGTCACGACATAACATGAAAACGGCTTGACCGATTTGGCTGATTTTTTTTTGTAGTTTTCTAATACTCTGTACAAGGTTTTTACGGAAAAAAATATAAAGAAAATATCTACGCTAAGGCGGTACGAAGTTAGCCGGGTCAGCTAGTATTCAATAAAAATTAAGTGCAGTACAAAAGTCAATGTGAACCAAATATATATAAATGTAACTGTATCAGATAAGAGGTCCTTAATATTAAATAATCGTTTAAGAAATAACATGAGACTGAATAGCCTACCAAAAGTTTATCCATCAGTGAGAATTCACAACAAGAATTTGTAGTTAAGTTAATATACATTTTAGCAATCTTTTGAAAGTCATATATGGGTAACCACTGCAGCGAGGGACTCTTACGGAGCAAAAATTGCTTGTGGCGTAGGGAAGGCACTGGGAAACAACTATAGGTACATTGCCAAAGCACTGTAATTTAGGGACTTTAATGTTAGTCTGCATATTTCTCACAACGCTCAGATAGAGATCGGGATAAATAAGTGGTACAGTAAGTAGTCTAAATTACAAAAAGCTTTAAAAACAGTAACATGGCACATCAAGCAAACAATGACTCTGGAAAGGAAATCCAATTATCATACCATACCTTCCAATTTACTCAAAAAGACAATTTGAAAACATATTATTTGAAACTTAGTTTTCCAATACGAGAACTACATGGATATGAAATTGATAAACATAAAGCATTTTTGCACTTCACACAAAAATTTATTCACGTCTTGATCTTCAAATAGCCCAAAATACATTTTTTTTTTGACAGGTAGGAATCGACGCAGTCCATAGAGAAAAGTAATACATAGGAAATAGAGAACCCTCTCTGTTGAATTTTTGAGCCTACTAATTGACAGCCTGGTGTTAAATTCCCTGTACTTAACCTACGTACGTAACGCTCACATACATACATAGTACACGCACACATACATACATAAAGTCCACGCACACATACACACAGTTCACGCACACATAGGCCCTCATAACCTTCAAAGAATTATTGTTTTTATGATGTACAATGTAGAATTTTTTCAAATCCATTATTTTGAAAATATTTATCTTTATGGTGTACGTATTGTATTATTTTCAAAACAATGGATTTGGAAAAATTCTACATTGCACATGGAAATGCAAATAAGTAAACAAAAACTTTTGAATTTAATAATTTTACTTTATTTATAAACACACATAATATTATACACCAAAAGCGTCTTTTCGCAAAGTTTTCAACAACACTAAAAAATTTTTTTCTCATTTGCACATTGAGAAAACTCAGATCACTTGTGAACCTAGCAGAAAGTTTCTTCGCGATTCACGAAGGAACGAACAAAACTCCGATGAACCAGAACAGCAGCAGGTACGAAGGAATGAACTTGAATTTGACTCGACTCTAATTTCTACTACTCTATTATGTAAATTATAACAAAAATGTCAATGTTCAGTTTTAAATTAAAACAAATTAATTTCATTTAAAAAAAGTTTTCACATTGTAATTAACAATATTCTCAAATATATTTTAATTAAGAAAAAAATGAAAATATGAAGGAAACAGGAGCAGCGACATCTAGAGCGTTTTAGGGTAGTTAAAAAGTATTTGAATTTATTCACCGATGTCGCTGTTTGGAAGCAAGTTTCACTTCGATGACCGTTGTATGGAAGTTTCCACACCCTGACGCAGTCTGAGTTGAGTTTTTTGACACAAAGTCAATTACTTTTTTTTAAATGATATTTTACGACACTGGGTACAAGCCTTTTTATGCCAAGTCAGTCAGTCGCACACAACAAACAGGATTTTGATCTACAGATAGTTTATTTCAGTTTATTTAACGTTCACGGAGCGATGTAACTCTCGACATTACAATCTATCACGTTTTGCCACAGGGAAAGTCTTGTATAGATGACCCACGCTGAACTGTCCCGCCAAACTCAATGACAGGGGGGCGCTACCATCGTTCAACTTTATGGTTTCCAACATGGCAAAAATCGGAACCAGCGATTCGGTATTGACGGTGGCGCCCCGCTGTCAATGTCATCGATAGGACAGTTCAGTATTTTGGAACTATACATGACTAATTAAATTCGTCCACGCTATTATTCCATTAATTTACTTGACACTGGCTATTTATGTGAAAACCACAAACCACAATGAAAGAATTGACCGAATGGATCTTTATCCAAAGCCGTTATATTTCTATGGAAAAAAATTGAACAAAAAAAAACACAATGAATGACACACGGTGTCAATGTTACCAATTTAAGAATTTTCTCCCCAAAAGGGGGTAAAGTAGGATGAGATGTTTAAGGGCCTAGTATAGGTGTACCAGAATCTCATGGCAAATAGGGAAAATAAACTTTGTTGAGAGCAATACTGGGGAAATTGGAATAAACGATCTTGATACTGTTTAATTTTTTACTTTTATGACTTTAGTATTAATGAACATGAAGTAAGAATATACATTTTAGGTAGGTATGTGTATGAAGAATGTTATTATACATCGGGTTTTTTACATAGGAAAATGTCTTGAAAAAAAAATAATCGTATTATTACTTTAAGTAACTAATTTTATTATGCATCATACTTTTAATTTATCACTTCATTCAGAACTAGAAAACGATTCTAAGAACTCCACTTGCAATTTCTTGTTCTTCAATAGATGATTAAGATAAAGAGATGAAATCTTTTTCAATTTTCTTTACATGGTCATAACATTTTGACCATTCCTCTGCACCAATTTGTGAGATATACCTGAAAACCCCGATAAAGCAGCTATTAAGAATAATATAAAAAGCACTGTTTTGTCAATTGACAATATTTACACGATTAAAAATATGGGTTCTAGAGTTCAAGGTACTGTCTTTTAGAAAATGTATTTGTGTTTATAGAACTTAAGCCTATTTATTTAATAAAAATTAACAAAATCAGTGATTGAAAACTACCTTAAAAATTATACTCACAAGGCTGAAAGTACATACTTTCCATTACTTTCCGTATTGATAGAAATTATCCTCAGATATTATATTTTCATGTTGTAAAAACAAATTTTGCTACGACATACTACCGGCGCTGTTTTTTGCGATTCTCGAAACTAAGAATTTTTCCGAGGCGCTATTTGAGAATTGGATCAAGTTCCTATAAACAAGCGGTCTATTACACATCATGGTAACATACTTAACGTCATTACAAAGGTGCACCAAGAAATACATTTGGATGATATAAGCCTATCGAGCTATGGACAGCCACAAACCCTAATCATTAAGCTGAAGTTAGATGATATTTTGCATTAATTTTTGTTCCAAGTTTGTACTAAAATATGTACCAATTTCAAAATTTAAAAAAATATTTTTCTATTAGATATAGTTATATTCTATACAAATCTGACAAAAGGTAGTAAGTTCAGATCGAAAATAATTTCGTCCGTTACTTACTATGAACCGGCAACACTGTGCGCCGCGGCGCGGGGTTAAATGATTTTTTAATTTATTTTCAGCACAGATATGGATTAGAGATTTTCAGGGACAATTAATTTATAGAGTTGGTAGCACTGCGTCTGACAGATGTACCGGTCCGAGATCAACTTGTTGTTGTTGTTCTTTCTTCTTCTTTCTTTCCATAATTTAAAAAAAAATGGAGCATGGAAGATGGAAGTGCTGAAAATGTTAGGTTAGATTTTAAGTTAAGTTCTACTTTGTGGCATAAAACAGGTCTGTTCACTTACTTTTTTTTGCACTGCATTTCGAATGTTATTTATTGTTGAACAGATGAAGATCGACTAACTTTAACTTCATACACAAATCTTTTATTTACAGAATACCTACAACGTTTCTTACGGACTCTGAATTAATATACCATTTAATATGGATCTTGAGGTTCTTTACGAAGAACTTCGCGGTATGGAAGTTACAAACCCAGCTTGCATGGACAAAATTATGTCTTATAAAGAAGATATCGAATTGGAAGCTGATGACTATATGCATGTACGTATTGTACCTATATTACCTGTATTACCTACATTGATTTAATTATGTCCGGAAATCATTTAAATCAAATTAAAGTATTTAACTTACGAAATATTTCGTATTAGTTTCGATAGATCGAACCTTTATTAGATACCTAACTAAATAAAAATGTACAGATTATAAATATCTATACTAGAATTCATTATTTACAGGTGCTAGTAGAAAGTTTGTCACATGCTATGATTACATGGGAACAACCCTGGTATCAAGAACAAGACAAATTAAGTCTGCAACCCCTAATAGAAAACCGTGATGGATTGCCGAAATTTCGAGAGGATCCTATAACCAAAGATGAAGGAGAGCATATTCTAAACAATTGGCGTAAGTTGGTGAAGGTACTATGAATGTTTTATTTGATTTGATATAAATGAACTTAATTTACTTTCAATTAATAATAATATGTTTTATAAGCTTTGAAAAATAATGATTATTTGCAGAAATACAATATCCCAGATAAATTGCAATGTTTTGCGCGATGGAGGAATATTGGTTATAACAAAAGGTCGTCAGCTCAAGAAAATGTTCGCCGATTTATTCATTCATATTTAGCACGAGGCTTGAATAGGACTATTCCACAAGTGTATCGGCACATAGTCAATACATATAGGAGAACAAAAAAAGGACGATATACACCTGACGAAGAAAAACTAATGGAAATTTGTTTTTATCATTATCCACCAAGAGCAGTTCGAATAGCATCATTTGTTCTTGACCGAGGTGATAAAGGAATTACGAAAAGATTTTTAGTCTCTCGCAATGGTATGTATTTGCAGACTTTTCTCTAGTTGTGAATGGAGTCTTATATCATTATTAATGTATTGCTACTTTCGAGACAGTTCCCTGAGGCAAAGTTGTTAAATAATATCTTCATAACTTGAGGAATAAGGAAAAATTATCTTATTTTTTATTGCAGGTAAACCAGAATTTAACAGAATAAAGTGGACACTACCACTAGCTACAAAATTAGTAAACTTGTTAGTAAAATATACTGGAGAAGAAAGTTATGACGGACTCAAGAATAAGCCCATTCATATTAGTATTTGGCGTGACGTTGAAAATCATTTTGATACACTAGCCTGTTATCTTCGACATTTTTGGTACACATCACTGCACTGTCAATTATTTATTAAATATGATGTTACTTTAAGAAGAGTTAGACGAAGAGTATTTAAAATGTAAGTAAACGAAAAATTGCCACTGCAGACCCACGATACCCCTGGCGATACCCCTGGTGGTATCGTGGGTCTCGTTAAAGAACTACACCTCAGACCCACGATACCCCTGGGAGTAAAGTTGACAAACGAGGACCGCGCGGGCGCGGCGGGCGGGGAGGGGACGCACAGTGCACACGGCCAGTGCACAGTGTTGTGGAATACCTCTTTGAATTCTAAATTGATTTCATTGAACA